TCCCGAGGGGTAAAAAGGCGCATTTTAAATTTCAAACGATCCCCAAAGCAGGAAAACCCAGATTTATCGATTTTCACGTGCTATAGTCCATGTATTTTTGGTTATAAGATTTTGAAATTTTTTTTGCCAAAATTTTTCCTATACGTTCGTTACGACCTTATTAACGCGTGAGTTGGTCCCAATGGGACAAATGGGGGCATTTTCGAGTTCAAACGAGCCCCAATGTAAGAAAAATGAGATTTTACTGATTTTCGTGTACTATAGTCTATGGATTTTTGGTGATATGATTCCAAAAATAATTTTGTCAAAAAATTTCATGGAAGACTGTTGCGACCTTATTAATGGCTCTAATTGGTCACGAGAACAAAAGCAGACACATTTTAAGGTTCAAACGAGCCCCTAAGACATAAAAAATGAAATTTTTACCAATTTTTGTGTACTAAAATCCATGGAGTTTTTATGATGACGAATTTCAAAAAAAAAATTGCCAAAATTTTTTCATGGACATTTGTTACGACCTTATTAATGGGATCAATTTATCCCGAGAGAAAAATGGGCATATTTTCAAGTTCAAACGAGACGCAAAGCAAGAAAAACTAATTTTTTACCGATTTACGTGTGTTATAGTCAATGAATTTTTTGTGGTAGGACTTCAAAAAATTTCATGGACGTCTGTTACAACCTTATTAATGGTGTCAGTTAGTCCTTAGGGGTAAACGAGCGCATTTTAAAGTTCAAACAAGCCCTAAAGCAAGAAAAATCAAATTTTACCAATTTTCGTATGCTTTAGTCCATGGTTTTTGGTGATACATGATTTTAGAACTTTTTATGCCTATTTTTATCATGGACGTTCGTTACGACCTTGTAAATGGTGTTAGTTGATCACGAGGGGAAAACAGGTGCATTTTCAAGTTTAAATGATCCCCAAAGTTGGAAAATGCATATTTTATCGATTTTCGTGTGCTATAGTCCATGAATTTTTATGATAGGATTCTAAAGTTATTTTGCCATAATTTTTCATGGACGCTGCTACGACCTTGTTAGTGGTGTCAATTGGTCACGAAGGACAAACAGACGCATTTTCAAGTTTAAACGATCCCCAAAGCAAGAAAAAACCAGATTTTACTTTTTGGTGATACAAGATTACAGAATTTTTCTTGTCAAAATTTTTCATGGACGTCGATTACAACCTTATTAATGGTGTTAGTTGGTCTCTTGGGAAAAACGGGCGCATTTTCAAGTTCAAATGAGGCACAAAGCAAGAAAAAATAAATTTTATCGATTTTTGTGTGTTATAGTCCATGAACTTTTCATGATACAGGATTCTGGAATTTTTTTTGTCCAAATTTTTCATGGACGTCCATTACGACCTTGTTAATGGTGTCAGTTGGTCCCGAGGGACAAACAATAACATTTTCATGTTCAAACAAGCCCCAAAGCAGGAAAACCCATATTTAACCGATTTTTGTGTGCCATAGTTCATGAATTTTTGGTGATAGGATTATGAAATTTTTTTATGTCAAAAATTTTCATGGACATCCGTTACGACCTTATTGATGGTGACAGTTGGCCCCGATGGGAAAACAGGCGCATTATCAAGTTCAAATGAGCCCCAAAGTAAAAAAAAATAGATTATACCAATTTCTGTGTGCTATATTCTATGGATTTTTGGTGATCACAAAATTTTGGTCTTTTTTGTCGAAATTTTTCATAGACGTCCGTTATTACCTTATTAATGTAGCCAGTCGGTCCCGAGGAGCAAACATGTGCATTTTCAAGTTCAAACAATCCCAAAGCAAGAAAACCAGATTATGCCGACTTTTGTGTGTAATTGTCAATAAATTTTTGGTGATACAGGATTCTAAAAAAAAAAATTGTCTAAATTTTTAATGGAAATCGGTTACGGCCTTATTAATGGCATCAGTTGGTCCCGAGGGGCAAACATATGCATTTTCAAGTTCAAACGAGCCCCAAAGTAAGAAAATCCAGATTTTACTAATTTTCGTCTGCTATAGTCAATGGATTTTCGGTGATACAGGATTTTTGAATTTTTTTTGTCGAAATTTCTAATGGACGTCCGTTACAACCTTATAAATGGCGTCAGTTGGTCCAGAGGTGCAATCGGACGCATTTTCAAGTTCAAAAGAGCCCCACAATAGAAAAACCTAAATTTTACCGATTTCGTATTCTGTATTTTATGGATTTTTTGTGAAAGGATTCTGGAAAAAAAGGTTTCGAAATTTCTAATGGACGTCCGTTACAACCTTATAAATGGCGTCAGTTGGTCCAGAGGTGCAATCGGACGCATTTTCAAATTCAAACGATCCCCAGAGCAAGAAATACCCAAATTTTACTAATTTTCGTGTGCTATAGTCCAAAGATTTTTGGCGATAGAATTTCGAAACTTTATTGGCAAAATTTTTCATGAACGTTTGTTACGACCTTATTAATGACGCTAGTTTATCCTGAGGGACAAACGTGTGCATTTTCAAGTTCAATCGAGCCCCAAAGCAGGAAAGACTTTATTTTACCGATTTTCGCGTGCTATAATCTATAAATTTTTAGTAATAGGATTCAAGAATTATTTTAGTCGAAATATTTCATGGACGTCCATTACGATCTTATTAATGCCGCCAGTTGATCTCGAGGGAAAACAGACACATTTTCAAATTTAAACGAGCCCCACCAACAAAAACCAAATTATACCGATTTTGTGTGCTATAGTCCATGGATTTTTGGTGATACAAGATTCCAGAATTTTTTTTGCCAAAAGTTTCATGGACGTCCGTTAAGACCTTATTAATGGTGACAGGTTTTCCCGAGAGGTAAACGGGCACATTTTCAAGTTCAAACGAATCCCAAAGCAGGAAAATCCAGATTTTACCGATTTTCATGTGCAATAGTCCATGGATTTTTGGTTATAGAATTCCAAAAACAAATTTATCGAAAATTTTAATGGACATCCGTTATGACCTTATTAATGGCGTCAATTTATCCCGAGGGGCAAACAAGCGCATTTTCAAGTTCAAACGATCCCCAAATCAAGAAAAATCAGATTTTACTGATTTTCGTGTGATATAATCCATGGATTTTTGTTGATACAAGATTCCAAATTTTTATTTTGCCGAATTTTTTCATGGACGTTCGTTACGACCTAATTAATGGCGTCGGTTGGTCCCGCGGGGCAAACGAGCGCATTTTCAATTTCAAACGAGCCCCAATCCAGGAAAATCTAGATTTTACCGGTTTTCATGTGCTATAGTCCATAAATTTATGGTAATAGAATACCAGAAATTTTTTTGCCAAAAATTTTCATGGACATCCGTTACGACCTTAGTAATGGCGCCAGTTGGTTCCGAGGGGTAAACGAGCCCAAACCAAGAAAAACAAAATTTACCAATTTTCGTGTGCTATAGTCCATGGAGTTTTGGTGATACATGATTCTAGAATATTTTTGCTAATATTTTTCATGGATATCCGTTTCAACCTTATTAATGGCATCAGTTTGTCCCGAGGGGAAAACAAGCGCATTTCAAGTTCAAACGAGCCCAAAGCAGGAAAACTCAAATTTTATTGATTTTTGTGTGCTATATTCCATGAATTTTTGGTGATAGGTTTTCGAAAAAAAATTGCCAATTTTTCATAGACATCCGTTACGACCTTATTAATGGCGCCAGTTGGTCTCGAGGGGCAAACAAGCGTATTTTCAATTTCAAACGAACCCCAAAGCAAGAAAAACCAATTTTTTTACCAATTTTCGTGTTCTATAGTCCATGAATTTTTGGTGATACAGAATTGCAGAATTTTTTTTGCTGAAATTTTTCATTGACGTCTGTTACGACCTTAGTGATGGCATGAGTTGATCCCGAGGGGTAAACTGACACATTTTCAAATTCAAACGAGTCCAATGCATGAAAACTCATATTTTATCGATTTCCGTATGCTATTTTACCAAAAAATTTCATGGACGTTTGTTACGACCTTATTAATGGCGTGAGTTGGTTCTGAGGGGCATTACTAAAGCTACATGTTTTTGGGGTAAAATAAGTGTATTTATCCATCAAAATAAGTTCTTTCATCTAAAAGAGAAGTAGGGAGTAGGTACAATATCTTTTTTGTTTTGGTTTTTAACCATTCCAAATTAAATATTCACTAGACTGATTAATCCAAATCATAATATTCACTATTATAATGCGAACTAATCCGAATTTACACACGTTGTGTAAAGGGCATAATTAAAGGAGAGAGCACATTGCTGTAAGAAAATTAGCAAGAGGTTTATACTTAATCCCTTGATCTGTTCATATAGAATGGCAATATCTCCACCTGTAAATAGTTGGTTTTCTAGCAATAATTCACAAACCCATAGATACAACTCGCAATGAATCGAAAAAAAAAAACAGACTGAATCGAAATAAATCACAAAATGAAACATAGGAAACATAGATATAACTTCGGATCAGGTCACGAATATTTAGATCACAGAGTGCAACACAATGGATTAATCAAACTAATTACAATATTGAACAGAGATATAGCATCGGATCAGGTACAAACCATCCCGACGGTCACAAAATGCAGAACAGCAGGAGTGAATCAAAGAAAAAAACATGCCTAGTGGAATCCCACGATGGGTAGAATGTACGCAGACATTGACCCTATCTTCTTGATAGAGGTCGTCGTTTCATCTCAAAGGAAAGAATCAAAGTATGATAAAAGGGAGATAGCAACATCGAATAGCATGATACAAAAAGCAAATGAAGCAGCAGCAACAACAATGATAAGAAATGAAGAACAAGATAGTTCACGAATAATATTCAATAAGGAGAAGATGAGTAGAGGAGTGTAGCCCCATACCTCTCCCACATAATCGAACAAATAACAAAATTAAACATAACTTGGAATCGTGTCTCTCAGCTATCCGCAAAACACAGACTGAAGCAGAATATCACAAAATGCAACACTAAGGGGGTGAACCAAACAAATAACAAAATTAGACATAGGTACAAGAATCACTAATATTATGAGAAAGCCCTTTCAAAGATAACAGATTCATCACTATTAATAGAAACTAGAGAAATGATAACAATATGATGTTCATCCTACCAACTGATGAAACTTTACTTCAGTAGATGCAATGACTTCTATAAAGAATTTAACAAAACTTTAGGAGTTTATTGTTTTTCTCTTCGAAATACCCTACAAAATGACATTAAAAGTAAAATAGAATGTTTTTCGATATCCGCCCACTGCTTCTTCAATGGTTGATTTGTTTACTTGCAGCTCTTCAAGACCAAGATATTTCTTTAATCGAACTTCACTGAAGAGAACAAATAATGTACAAACCAGAAGGACGAAAGGAACCCGACGGTGCCTGTTGCAAACATAATAGCCAAGACCATGAAGAGGGAGTATCCGAGGTAAAGGGTGGCGGAAACAGGGCCGCTTAAGCTCTTGAGGTCGAATATTAGATAGTTGATGGAGTATAGGAAAATGTATATTGCGACTGAACCGGAAGCAAAGAATGACTTCCACCACCATTTCCAGTCCTCCACACATAGATGCATGTAAGTTAGAACAAGAGACACCTCAGCACAAACGACAACAAGGAGGATCATAACGATGAGGAGGAATCCGAAGACGTAGTACACACGACCCATCCAGAGACTTGACATGATAAAAAAGAGCTCAATGAACAGAGTGCCAAAAGGAAGGGTGCCTGCCCCGAGAACCAAAAGCCAAGATGGATATTTCTGTGCTGGAATTTCGCGTGGGATCTGGTTGGTTCGGACTGGATATTCGATGTGAGGTGCCTTTGCCCCAAGGTAGCCACCGATCAGGGTTAGGGGGACGGAGATACAGAACCAAAGTAAAATGAGCACGACAAACAAAGAAAAGGGAATGGCCCCTGTGCTGTGACTACCCCATAACAAGAAGTTCAATACAGTAAGAATTAGGAAAGAAAGTCCAGGGAAGAAACAAGCAGCCTTCCACGCGACTCCAACCCATCCCTTGTGATCACCACAGAAGATTGTCCTCCAAAGACGAACAGAAACATAGCCAGCTGCAACACCAAGAATCATGTAAAAGAATAGCATACCTGTAATCAATGTTCCACGAGATGCTGGGGACATGAATCCAAGGGCAGCAAACATAATAGTCACTACAGCCATCCCCAAGATTTGAACTCCATCCCCAACCATCGCGCAGAGAAGGCCAGGGTTACTAGGGGCTCGGAAAACATCACCAACAACAAGTTTCCACCCAGATAACTCCTCATTCATCTGAGCCTGAGCTTCTTTGTCTAGTTCATCATACCTTGCCAGATCACGGCGGATTGTTCTCAAAAAGATCACAAGCACAATACCAGCCAAGAAAGTGATCACCATAAGGGAATTGAGTATCGAGAACCAGTGCACCTTTGCACCTTCCATCTTCAAATAAGCATCCCATCTCGATGGCCACTTGATGTCACTCTCCACAAAGTTCACCTCATAAGTAAAACTCACAGGCTCATTTTCTTTAATAGCCATGGACACAGATGTCGGGTCACACTTGATTGGAGATGGAAGCTTATTGTACATTTTAAGATTCTTTAACGAATCAGGCGTATGCTGGAAACTACAAGGTACAACCTCAAATCCAACAACCATATATCCAGGTGCATCAGATCCTTCATTTCCAACAGTCGAAATCACCTCTGATCCATCCCCGGTACCCATCACACGAGCCACATTGGTCTCCTCAAATTTATGAACAAGAACAGTAAACTTCAAATGGTTAAACACATAATATGCATCTTGAACCTTGATCCCAACCGGATACCCCGTCCAACGCAAGAAGTAATTCTCCTTCTTGGTATATCGAATAGCAGGCAAATTATCAAGAATCAAATTCACCTGATACATCTCATCAATCCTCTCTTTTAAAAGCTTAAATTCATCAGCAGACAAAGGTTTAGTTTGACACAAGAAAACCTCAGTCTCATTAGTATACATCTTAAACCTATAAGGCGAATTCTCAATCCTATCACCCATAAGAAGCTCACCTAGATTTTCTGCACTATCCTTCACACCCTCTTCAGGCTTACAGAAAGGCAAACTATAATAACTATAAGGCAATTCAGTGTCAATTGAAGTCAATGAATTGACCTTAACATTCAAGTAATCACCAACCCCATATTTGTGAGGATAACTTCCAGGTAGATAAAACCCATAACCCAATTCAGAAACCAAACAGATACACAAAACCCAAATCTTGAATTTATCAAAAGACTCCATTTTTACCCCTTTTTTTGCTCAGATCTAAATGAATTATCAAAAGGGTGTATTTATAATACAAAGATCAGTACTTTTTCAAATGGGTTTTCAATATATATCAAGATCTATCTATAACATCAAACTTAAACTAGATCTGATTAATATTGAAACAAGAACAATGAAGCATATAAAGAGGGGAAATTGAAGGGTTGTTAAAAAGAACAGATCTTGCTCACCTCTGATGGAACAATATGCACTAAATTGGAGAAGAAAGGAGCTGTGAGAGTAACATTTGAGCTGTGAGGAAGATTTAATGGAAGTGGTGGAAATGTACAGACTCCATGACTATGGAATTTATATACATATATTAATTCCTTTACTTCGTCGGTGGGAGATCTTGGCTTTAGCATGTAGGCCCTTAATAAAATGACTTGTATGTCCCTATAACAACTCGTAACGTATCTAGTGTAATCTCACAAAGTGTGGGGTGTATGCTCTACTGAGAAGTAGAATAATCGTTTTCGATAAAACTTTCCCTTTTTATGACTTATATTGCCTGTTTGATAAGAGGGATAAGTGAAAACTAATTTTATGATGAGTTTATTTCATATTTAATTGTAATTGAATTGCGAAATAATTTATTTATTTTGAAATTTATTATCACTTGAATTATAGTGTTATTTTTATTCATGTTAAAGATGATACATCAATTTAAACCCACATTGAAATCCGATTAAATCCAAATTCATGCTGAAAAGTCACACTACATTAAGAATAAAATGTCCCTAACAAAAACGACTTATTATACTAATTGTTTATTTATAATTATTTGTATATCACTCTATACAAAATGTGTTTCTTAATTTATAAACATTTCTTGATATGCCAAAGAAGAAGTATTTTTTCTTGCCAATTTCTAGTTACATATTTCCTACCTAATTTATAATCTAAATTATTGCCAATATCTATGTTTTTTATATAAAAATAGGTAGAGTTGCCTAACAATTAAAATCTTAAAATGGTACATTTTACAGCTTGCAAAATGCTCTTTTGACTACTCAACAATAGTATCCTTTGCTTTTTCATGCTTGTCACGTAAATGTGCAGACACTAATTGGATCTATATATTTAAAAAAAGCCTAAAAATAATTAATTAATAAATAATCATCTAAGCTACCAATGATATTGAGATTATTATTATTATTATTATTATTATTATTATTTAAAGAAAAGCAACAGAAAGCTTTTGTATTGACACGTATGAAGATGAATGTCCTACCATCAATTATATTTTACTATATACTGTATATAGTTTGTAATTGCTGTATTTTTTTTATATTTTTTAGAATAAAAAAGGCTCACGATATAGGAGATATACTACGATCAAATCTCATCATGTTATATTACATGTTCTCTATTTATTATTATTATACAAACGCTTTTGTATCGACACGTATAAAGTGAATGTCCTAACATCAATTATTTATAGAAATTTGATAATTGTTGTATAGTTATATATATATTTTTAGATTGTGAGATATTTTACGATCAAATCTTTTCATGACAATCTATCATTTATAACATTAATTTTATTAAAACGTTCGAGTTTTCTTTAGTATCGATTTTCCACATTATATCATATTACATGTTCTTTATAATCACATTTCACTATATATTGTATCCAAAAATTATTTTGATTAACGACTTTGTAAAAAGGTTTGACTATATGTAATAACCTCTCAATTTTAAATTTTGACTTATGTTGTTATTGTGTCAAACAAAAATAGAAGTGAAATTATATATTGTTTAGGAATTGTAATGAACAATATTTTTTATTAAAAAAAGATTTCTAAAACTTGATAAATACGATAAAGTATACAAGCTTCCATGAAGAAATCTTACCTAAAAGCAATAAAAAAATGATTTTTGCTTAAAAAGGAAGAATTAGCTTTACTACAACTGCAATTTATCTGTTTTTAATTTCAAACATAACCCAACAAATGTAATAATCAATCTTTTTAATTCCTAGTTATTTGTCATTTAACGTTGATAAAAATTAACTTAAGTGGTTAAGTAAAGATCTATAATAAATAAAACATATGTTATTTATTTCTTACAATATAGTCTATAATTTAGTTATTAGTTGATTATCATATACTCACACCGTTTCATTTAAGAGTGTAAAAAATATATATTTTTAATATTGTGATTTTAAACACTAAAACGAATACGTACTAAAATTAGTTTTTTTAAAAGTATTTTAATTTTAAACATAACATGTCATTCTTAGATAGAGTATAAAAATAAAATGAAACTATTAGAATTAAAAACTTTCTAAATACATAAAGATAATATTCTTTTCAAAAGAAGCTAAAAATATAATTAAGATATAAAATAAAACGAATGGAATAACACTTTGATAATCAACCTAGGAAATAAATTTAGAACCTAAAAAACCTTTGACTTTAAAATACCATATAAGTACACTTTTTTTCTCAAATTCGAGGGGAGTATAGATAGGCAGGGGGCTGAGCTACAAGCCTACAACAGAAATTATCGGAATCTATGTAAATTTTGAAGTTATATTTATAATAATAAAAAAATTATATATAAAAACAATTTATTGGATCTTGTTGAAACTTCAACGTTAAGTTGTATGAGTGAGTATAGTACTAGAATGTGTTGAGCTTTTTGAGAAATTCTCGTGGGGCAATTTTTTCTATTTCTACGAGGTAGAAATAGGTCATATATTTTATCTTTTTCAAATTTTATTGAGTATGTTATTATTTAAAATCTAATAAATATTAAATGATCAAGCTATGATTCAAAAACATAAATTTAAAATTTTGAATTAACATATGAAATTAGGAGGATGATTAAATTTTACATTAAGGTATCTTTATTTACAATTTAAAAAAGGTCAACTCCCAACGCCGTGCGCAACATGAACTTTTCAAAACATGGCAACTTGATAGTAACACATTTCCCAATTATCATTATCCCCATAAAGATTTATTTTATTTTCACTTAAACAAGTTATTTTCAAAAAACTATTTCACCAATATAATTCAAATGCTAAGTTCAATATTTGCAAGATCTATGTTAGATATATGTCATTGCTCACAATTCTAGATTAACAAAGCCCAAAAACAAAACAAAAAAGTCTTTATTTGGGCCAAAGACTATACTTAGGACTCATTTAGTTGGGAATAAATTATGAAAAAGTTAAATAAACATACCATCTAAGATATCATAATCTCTAAAAAAAATTACTATTTAAAAAAATTATAAAAATCTCCCATCGAATACATCCCTCCTATTAAGTAGTGTATCATTTGCAATGTATCGGACAACCAAAGAATGTATTCAAAAGCAATGAAAAGTACGAGATTTTTGTATTTGGGGAAACTTCCGAGATATGATGTAATTGACCCCAAAATATATGAGATTTTTGTACTTCATACACAAGCTATCTCACAATTAATTATTCTAAAATTGTTATCACATCCTCAATTAATTAAAATTGATCCCGGGATTAGGTATACTTATCTCCGTACTAGATCAGAAGCATCAGAGCAATGGATTCCATGCAAGACTCAATCCTGCTTTGATTACAATTTTATTTTGAACCAAGGGTCCAAGTGTTGAAACAATTTTTTCTATCTTATAAAAGTAAATAAAATCTGTGTATATTATATTTTATAAAAGTAAATAAAATCTGTGTATATTATATTTTTTTTACTCATTATTGTGCTAATAAGTTAAATAGAAAAAGATTCTATCACTGAAATTACGGTACAAAATTGAAAACAAATTTCTCTCTTTTTTCCTAACGATATTTTAAGTTCATTGCAGTAAAGTTTTTATTAGTCTGGTAATATGAGGATATATACCAATTTTCAAATTGGAAGTATATATGGATGAAAATATGTTTCTTAAATTTCATTAATTATATGACTTTAAATAACTACATAAATATAGTAGTAGACTCCTCATACAATTAAAAATTAAAATATTAGACTTTTACTACAATACAGAAACTGAATATTTGTAATAAATCTAATATTAGACTCATTATAGAGCTATACAACTAATTATTCTATAAAAAAAAGTATTGTAATGGTAGCAATTGCCACATCCAACACAAATAAATTAGAGGTTCAAACCTATATTTCACTATAAGGATCAAAAACAAATTTCATCTTATGTTGTTATATGTCTTCTATAATAATATTCTACTACAACATTTTAAAATATTCAGACAAATGACATCGTTATTAAAAAAAAAGTTGGTTCATATATTTATTTTTTTGAGTGGAGCAAGATTGTAGAGAAATAAAAGTTAGTGTGAGTGAATTTTCAATCAATTTCCCACAATAACTTCTTAAATAGTATCTTTAAGCACCTAAGAGATTGAAACTAAATGCAAGATCAATGAAACACAAATATGATGAAAGTCAATGATATTTAGGTCCATTAGGTACGATAATATGGGAATTTTCCCAACTTGTGGGAAAGCTACAATTAGTTGGAGTAAATAGTAACAATTTCTTAAAAAATCAATCATTCTATTGAGCTAAGGCAGCTCTGCATATGTTTTTAGACTCATACTTCATCGTTGTCTGATCTTTTCAAATCTTAATCTGGATTAAGAATTTTTCATGTCTAGTTTTATGTGAAAGATCATATCTAGAGTAGATATCGAATCTCATTTCTTATCATTCATGGTTCATTCCAATCTTTAGTAAGTCAAAGCATTCAATGAATTGTTGTGATTCTTCCTAAATAGTCTGGATTCTCCCGTCGAGAGTCACTTTAAAAGTATTACCTAAACTCATCCGACTAAATATGATAAAGCCGTTCCTAGGCCCCATTGCTAAAAAAATTTGAACAACTTATTTAAATTGAATCTCTGATAACTTTAAAGTTGATTCCAATGTTATTTTTTTTTAATTCTCTATTCAATATTTAATATTTACATTGAAACTCAACTATTTTAAATTTGTGGATGATCTTGATGTTTGATTATGAAGAATTGATGATTCTTCATGAATGGACAAGTCGAATGCGTGTTTCTATTATGAAATACATTGCATGGGTCATCAATTTTAAATGCACTTTACTATACCTAGAGCTGTCAAAATGAGTTTGGCCGTCCAATCTAACCCTTGAACTAAGTGGGATTGGGCCTATTTTTTTGGCTCATTTAAGAACGAGGCTTTTTAGCCTAGCCTCATTTGGCCCGCTAGCCTCGTAGGCCCAATCCGCAAGCCTCAGAGGTCAGCTTGTGGGCTATGAATATTTAAAAATATTTTTTATATATATTTTTAGTAGTGTTTTATTTGTAAAGTTTTTATCAATAAATATTTTTTTTTAAAAATAATCAAGTCTTTTAAACTATGTAGTTTTTTGTGGGAGGAATGGTGGAATGATCAACACTTTTCCGCTAAATCTTACGTTGACTATTATGTATTTTTGTAAGTATTCACCGAAGTGTGTGATTCATAAATGTATTTTTGTAAGTATTCACCGAATTGCGTGATTCATAAATAAAAATTTGTGTAACACCCCAGAAAATTTTTGAACTAAGACCCGAACCTTTCTTCATAGTGAGTGAGATTTTTGCAAGGAATTAAAAATTTCTTAAGTGTTAAGGTCACTAGATGTAGCACCTTGAGTTCCAAAAAGAATTGAATTGGAATTTTGCAAGTTAAGTTAAGTATGAGTTTTGGGTCGACTTCAAACAACCATAACTCCTAGGTCAGGATGAATTAGGTGTGCTACCAAATACCGTAGCGAAGATCTTTGAATTATCTTTCCAACGTGGCAGAGCTTGCTATGTTTCGAGGTCGGATGAGTGAGATATGACCTTTTGAAGATAGGTTGTCCAGTTAAGGAAAGTTAGCCGAAAATAGAGAAGGGTATTTTGGTCTTTTCCTTACCCAATCAGATTTAATTCGATTTTAGTAATATTTTAAGGGTCTAATCCTATTAGGTTCAGTTTTATAATCCTAAAATTAGCCTAGGGTTTTAGTTGAGAGTTCAAGAAGAGAAAAGAAGAGAGAAGAGGAGAAAAGAGGAGAGGATCAAGCGTTCGTCGAGATTCTTGCGTGTTGTAGCGGATTTTCGCCATGGGTTTGATCCCTAAGAGGTATGTAAGCTTCCATAGTGTTGGGTTCTTTCACCCACACGCCAATCATGATTTATTCAGCGTAATTTCGTTCTTGAAATTTAAAGATTAGAGTTCTTGATGAGTTCTTGATAAGTGTTCTTGAAGTTTCATTAAGTTTTGATGTAAGATTCTGCTTAGGTCAACTTTAAACGACCATATCTCTTAGAATATTAAGAGTTACGTGAGCCATAACCTATCCAATTAAAGGTAATTGAATCTACTTTCCAATCCCACCAATTTCACGTCAATCCAATATCTGAGTAAAAAGTTATGACTATTTTAGTAACCTATACAGTGCTGTTACGTATTAGCCGACGGGAATATATTGAAAATAATCGTTTGTCTTTTTACCTCCAAGAAAACCATCAACGAATTTCTTGACTAATTAAAAAGCTCAAAACAATCAGATTTTCATCTTCACTCATGAAAATCATAATTTTTGGCTATAGAGATTTTAAGAAACTAACTCGAGAATCTCAAGAAAGGTTTTCTTGATTGTTTACCTTCAAGCTAGGGTTTCAAGGATTCTAATCAAGTTCTTCTTCAAGTGTTGGACTAGTTCGTCCTCACGCCCTACCTCTACTTTCAGATCAGTAAAAGAGTAATCTAAGATACTTTCCCTAGAATTGAGTATTCTTGAGATAAGTTGATTTTGAGTTCTTGAATTCACGTTTCTTTTAAAAGTTATATTCCTAATGATCGAATAGCTATATTGTTATTGAGATCCTTCATATCATGAATCATAACTCTTGAATTCATAATTCAAATTCAAGAGAGAGTTAAGAGTAGAGTTCAAGAAAGCCTTTGAGTTCAATTGTGAATCCTTTGAGATCAACTATCGATTTGAACTAAGTTTTGAGGAAGTAAGTCAGAGAATGAGAAGAGTCACATACATGAGTTTCATAATGTTATGTAGACCTACGAGTCAAGTCGTTCATGCCCATAAATTCTTCATGAACTCCAGAAGTTGAGTATCTTTGAAAGGAGTAGTATCTTCAAGTTCTAAGTCTTGAGTATTGAGTTCCTAATACCCTTTGAGATTATATTTCTAAGCATGAGACTATTACATGTTACCCATAAAGTCTTTGAGTTGAATTGTTCATGCCCATAATTCCGCATGAATCCTATAAGTCGAGCAGTCTTGAGAAGAGAAGTATCTTTGAGTCCTTGAGTTGAGTCGTTCATGCTTATAATTCCGCACGAACCCTATGAGTTGAGCATTCTTGAAATTAGTAGTATCATTGAAGTTCTTGAGTTCCAAGTATTTGAGTTTTATCTATGGTTATTGAAAACCTTGCATTGAGTAGTTCATGTCCATAATTCGGTATGAACCATATTTTAAGAAGTCTTTTACAAACGTTTTAACTTTGTTTTAAGACTTAAGTTTTGAGTTCAGTAAAGAGTAAAGAGTAAAGTTTGAAGTCCTTTTCTTCAAAAGTATATGGGGACTAAGTATTCCCATAGAGTTTATAAATGTTTTCACATTTAAATAAGAACGGAAACTGAGATTTCCAAAGGGCATTCGGGCTAGTTTTCAGAAAAGAGTAATAGCTTTCTAAATGAAGCAAGCAGGGAAATTGAGATTTCCAAGATAGCCTTTGAGCTAAGTTTTTGAGCAATTATCTCAAATCAGCAGAAAGAAGTATGTTTTTTAAAACATAAGAGCTAGTATATTTTTGGGAGTAGTATTGAGCACCGATATGGGGGAGAGTTCAGACAACTCACAGCCCCCATAAACCATGTAGCCATCATGGGTAGAAAAGGGTCATACTTTTTAGATGAACCCTTTTCACATAGACTAGTGGATCCATTAGTAGTTCAGGTCCTATACCTTTGGCCGGGTATAGGATGCGCTGGCAGCGTGAGGTAGATCACTGTATCATCACTATAGCTCTTATGTGATGGTTGTCGGTTAGAGAAACTCCCACAGAAGTTATTGTATTTTTATATACATCAGTTTATTGTATTTTTATATACATTTCAGAGTTATGTTGTATCCTTGCATACACACAGATTTGACAGCATGTTTTTAAACAGTTTGTTTCTTTATATTGCACTTGTTTTAAATTGCTTTATATTGAAATGAGTTCAGTCATATTTAGTTGAGTATTCAAAGTTGAGTATCCAGAGTTGAGTATCCAGAGTCGAATATCATATCTTTGAGTCGAATATCATATCATTGAGTTGAGTATCTAATCTCGGAGTTGAGTATCTTATCCTTGAGTACTTCTGAGTTGAGTAAGTTTGAGTAGTTTTGAGTACCCTTGAGTATTCCTTGAGTTGAGTAAGTTTGAGAAGAGGTAAGTATGTTTCATTTCTATCAAGTTTCAAGCTTATGTTTATGTTTTAGAATTCCTCTTACATGCTCGTACATTCCACGTACTGAGCCATTTGGCCTGCATTTTCTCATGATGCAGACACAGGTATTCAGGATCATCAACAGGAGCTTTGTTGATACATCCGAGAGTTCGAGTTAGCTATGGTGAGCCTCCTTGCTTTCGGAGGATTTCATTTACCTTTCAATTATATTAGTTGTTAGGATGTCGTGGGTCTTGTCCCGACTTCCATCTTTATCAGTTAGAGGCTTCATAGATAGTCAGTATAGTTAAGAAGTCTGTATTATTCATTTATTTTATTAAATGTTTTAAAGACTAAAGTTGCCTTTTTATGGCGAGTTGTATATATTCTATTATACAGATTTTTCTTTGGACTTAAAGTTTGTATTTAAGTTTTATGAACTTTTGTTTCAGTTTTTAAGCTTTGTATGCTTGAATCAGTTTTCCGCTTGTAGTCAGCCAGGATGAGGGTTTGCTTGGGGACCAGCAATGGTCTTCGAATGCCGGCCACGTCCAGGGTGTAGGCTCGGGTCGTGACAATTTGTATGTATTGATGTCGTGTTCATAGACATCAACGTTCGATACTCTTTCTAAAAGAGTAATATTGTTCATTTTTTGTTGAAGGCCCAACCCGTGGCCTGCTATTTTATATGCCCTTTAATTAAAAGGATCAACCCGTTCCAACCCATTTAACTCTCTAGCCCGTTAGGGTTGAATTAGATTGGATTGGATCAGCCAATTTTGACAACTCTAACTATACCTACCATTAATTCTTTTTCCTTGTACTTTGGTCAGTGATTGGGGCATACCTTTATGGAAAAATTACTTAACTACACAACACTTCTTTACCTATTCTCAATATTTCCCTACTCTTTTATTAAAATACAAAAATCCCTTATTTTCCCCCAATTCAACTTAACCGGATACTTTATTAGTTTAAGTATCCGCCCGTTATTAATTAAAGTATCCGCCCGTTAATTAAGTATCCGTGCTGCTAATAACTTAATAATTTAAGTATCCGTCCGTTATTAATTAAAGTATCCGCGCTGCTATATTATGCATCCGCCCGTTAATTAAGTATTCGTGCTGCTAACAACTTAATAATTTAAGTATCCGCCCATTATTAATTAAAGTATCCGCGCTGCTATATTAAGTATCCACACTGCTACATTATGTATTCGAAAAACACTAAAAAAAGGGATTTTTGATAATTAATGAAAGAGCAGGGAAAGGAAGTAATTTCTTTTTTATACTATGTCATTTGCCTAATTTTTACCTTTATGTTATACTAAATTATCACGATTTACGTTCATCATATGTATTATTATGAATTTATAGATATAATTAAGTTGAGTTAGTCTAGTCGAAAAGTATTTTTCAAACTGTCAATAAAATTAATAATTCAGTATAAGTTTATGAATGTTTTCAATGTTTCTCTCCTAATTTAATTTAATTATATTCTCAAATATTCTTTATTATGTGCTACATGCTAGCTTAATCTTTTTTCATTAGCCAAACACGTGAATACATGTATTAAATTAAAAATTAAACTTTACATAATCTTTTTTTCTTTTTAACAAAAAGTGAACATTATAAGGCCGACAAAATATATAGATCTAAGGAAAATAAATTAACACGTTGAATAGTTGCATGGCCCATTCACCTCGATTGTGCCGATTTTGCCGCTACCCCACCCCCACGCAACTCACACCACCCCTACACGTTTTCTTCCCCTTTTTAATTTATTTCCCTTTCACTTCTCTCAACCTCTTTCGCCATTACCACCCTGCTCTCACGAGCAAAATACGGTAACCACAGGTGGTGTATTTATGGCTACCGGAGCTGCCGGCGATGCAATTTTCCGGGGAGTATTTGAAGGATCTATTTCCGGTCACGATCTAGAATTTTCAAAAAGGCCATACCACCGGAATTGTGGCTGTGCATTGCATAAATCGAGAGGGAACTGTTCTCATTCGTCGAGATATATGACTGTTTCGTATCCGATTCGCCGGTCGTGGAGTGAAGGATGTTTATCGTTGGTTGCGGCGGCGTCAGCGGCGGCGTCCGGTCATTCATCGCCGTGTTCTTCACCTTCTGTGGCGGTTGCCGATATCAGTAAGAGGAATTTGCTTCCGGTTAATGAAGACGTTGAAGATCTCGTTTTCAGTAAGGTTTAATAATTTAATTTTTTTTTCTAATTAAGGGAATAATAATTGCTGTTTTTTTTATACTTTATTAAACGAAAAAAAAAAGAATTAGTTGTTGTTTGATTTTATGGAGATTTGTTTGTTTAATGTGTATTTGACAGCAAGGAAGAAATCTTAAATTTTGGAGAAAATAGCTTTGAATCGATATTTTTATTTTTTTTGCTACTCACTGTCAATTTTCAGTAGAATTATTTCTTATTGAAATTGCTTTTTATATTGAATTATTCTCGTAAACTTGTTTATATATGGAAAAATTAAATGCTTAATATTACTGGAATCCAATATCTTCGTGAAATCTGTACAATGTATTTTGTACTTTTATGATGGTTGCTTCTGTTCGTATCACCTAAATTTTTAATATGAAAAATATTGTAATGTGCGATTTAAATTTAATTGAAAAATAAATAAATTATTGGGAGTTGAGTAGCACAGTGTATGTCACGCACTATACTTTTTTTTAATTTTTTATTGGGTATATTCATGAATGTGTCGTTCTCCTCTTATTTTATTGTGTTAGTTCACTTTTCTTATGTACTTACTATATAAATTATAGTATATGCCAAAATTAACTTCCTACGAATAATGTGGGGAGTAGTGAGGAATAAAAAAAAAGGAAATATTGTCATGTTGGTTGCATATTATTAGGAGTATCGACTGAGCAGATTCTCTATCTTTTGTCAGAGATTTTGGGTTATTTGTCACAACTTTTGGAATAAAAAATTCTTAGTAAAAAGTGTTTTTTTTTATGTTATGAACTTTATTTCTTTTTCGATAATGAAAAGATTTTGTATGTGTAATAGAAAAAATGGAAAAGGATCAAATATACCTCTATACTATTGCAAATAGTTTACATATACCTCTCGTTATACTTTCGGTCCAAATATACCCCTCATCCGTTAAATATTTGAATCTCAATTTTTAAATAGACAAGTGGAGGATTGAGATTAATTTGAAGTACCCATATCCTTTTGTCGAAACGAACACCCAAATTAACCCACTTAAACACTTTTAAGCAAACAAAAGCACAACCAACTGTTTGTCAAAAACATTAGTAATTGATTAGCTTCACCCAGTACATGAATTTGGTTTTTATAATTACTGTTTTCATTTGTTTTGTCAATCAAAAATACAAAACGTTGAAAAAAATTTCAAACTATTTTAAAAATAGTTCACTATATGTTATTCTTATTGAGTTCATTGTCTCAGTTTAATTCTGAAATTTTTTAAAGTTCCAACTGATATGGTGCTTGAAATTTCATTGGTTTCGATTCACCCGCTAAAATTATAAGGCACATTCGGTGGAGAAGTAGGAAATGAAATTGTTGGGTCTTCGAATCGACATTCATATTTATGGCCGAATTACTTCTAAAATTTGTGAATGGAAGTTGTTGTAAATCAATGGTATATTGAAAAAATTTTGGGTTAGTATTTTTTTTAGCTGAGATTTTCTCTTGGCGGATATTATTGAGCTAAATTCAGTTTTGGCCTTTTGGGTCTTTAAATTTAACGATGAGTTTAAAAAAAATTCTAAGTTATTCAATATTTTTTCACTGTTGACTCGTCAAAATTTCAAGTTGTTGAGATTTTGAAGTTGAAATTTTGACGTGACTGTGTGTGTTTGGATATTGAGAATCATCAACTTAGATGAATACGGTTATTATTGAAGCGGTCAAAATTGAATCGAAGTTTGTTATTTTCGTGGCATTACTCCATTGTTGTATGTTGCTATTAGAAGCTTCATTTGGGTTGGGTTATGATTTATTTTGGGTGGTTGTTTGGACAAAAAAGGATATAGGTACTTCAAATTAATCTCAACTCTCCACTTGTCTATTTTAATATTGATCAGGGGCGGCTCTAATAAATCGGTGGCTTAAAGTCAAATTTGAATGGAGGCCTTAAATTCGAATATATTTTTTTATGAAGTTTATTATAGCTAATTATTTAATCTTTCTTGAGACATAGTGCTCATAATTTATCAAACTTCTATTACTTCTTTGCTCTTTTATGAAAAGTTTATATTTTTTACAAATAATACTCAATATTTTAAAAAAAAAAATATGTATAACATATTTATTTATTTTTAAATGAGGCCCCTCAAATTTTGGGGCCTAAGGCGGTTGCTTTTTTTTCAAAGGGGAAGAGCCGCCACTGAGATTGATATTCAAATATTTAACTGATGAGGGTATATTTGGCCCAAAGTATAACGGTAAGGGTATATTTAGCCCGAAAGTATAACGAGGGGTATATGTAAACTATTTGTAATAGTACAGGGATATATTTGACCCTTTGCACACTTAAGTACCAACTACACAATTATTTATTAGCTCATGCTTATTGAATCTCTTTTATCGAAAAAATTATTTATATAAATAAAGGCAAAAATGAGTTTTTTTTCTAATTATACATAAATTGTTGTACTCTCTTAACATAAAAAGATGATTTTAGTGGAGCGGAAAAAGAGAATTAATTTATTACTTTTAAGTCATAAGTTCAAATCTCACGGGTAATACCATTTTAGTGTTTTTTTTCTTCTAAATCTCCTTATATAAATTTCTTATTTTATCATATGTTTACATGACATGAATTTGAATTAGTTGGCTGAGTGAATTTCAGAGATGGGATGAATATATAAAAAAAAAGTGCCAAGTTAGGACTTTAATTCGACTCTCAACGTTAAAACATCATTTTTCAAAAAGGGGTGGCAAAGTTGGACTTTAGTTTGACTCTTATGGTTAAAAAAGAATTTAAAAAAAAGTGGCAAATTAGGACTTTGGATAAGCATATGTTTGGTAAAGAGAATAATCTTATCCTTTAAGAATAATAAAAAGTGGATAGTGCTCAATTGGAACATTCAAAAGTGACTAAATTGGTCCGTTACTCTTCGGGACTGAGTGGAAGAAGGGCGATTCTAGAACGTGGAAAAGGGTTCAATGAATTCGAAAGAATTGAAGGAGTGTAAATGAAAAAAAAAAACTTTTACGATAGAAGCAATTACTATCTATTTCCAACTGTGGTTATTGAGATTGGACTTAAAATAGAGCAACATAATATATGTTTTAGTATTTTAGTATGCCTCTATGGTAAAAATGTACCTGCCAAGTATTAATTATAATTTAGAAGTAAGAGAGTGATTTTGATGTAACCACTGAACGTAAGAAAACATAATACTTCCATTTGTTTATGTTTTCATTTTTTTTTTATAGAAAGTGATTATAGTTTTAAACAATTTCCCCATTCATTTTGGTTGGAATGTGGCATTAACTAATTGATATAAGCTATAAGAATCCTCAATAATTATTGTGTATCTTTTTCATATCAAATAAAATAATTCTATTTACTATAAGCTTTTGTTATTCACGGACTTCACGAAAAGAGCAGAACCAAGTAAGGTCTACCATATACTCATTAGTTGTCATATTTTTGGGTTCTATGCAAGTCCTATAATAAGATTTTTAAGTCTATGTACTAACGGGTCGTTTGATAGCTGGTTAGAGTTATATAAATATTAGTAATGTAGAAAATAGTTACGAGGAAATCCATTAGTTCCACCTTCAGCCTTCTATGTTGCATATAATAACACATAGATTCCCTCATGAGAGTTTTTAAACTGAAAATCAAACACTATATTACTTTTATACATGAATAAGTTTATTACCTCCTAATCAGTTATCAAACGTGGTATTACTTATAAATGCATGAACTTCAAAAGCACAAATATTTCAATTTTAATTTTAAACATGTTTTGTCTTTAAGTTTACTTGCATAAACAATATGCGAAATTTAAGGCAAAATTTGCAACGTCACACGTGGATTTGTGTAACTTTAATCATGTTTTTTGGAAGTTAATTTTAAAGTGGCTAAATTTTTCTTAAAAGAATTATACTTTACAGCTATGACTTAAATGGGACCCCTAAAATCGATTATATGCGTATTTAGCCCTAATATTTGAGATGCTGCTACTAATTAAACATTTCATCACTATTCATAGATTAGAATAATTAAACATTATAATGCTTCAACAAATCACAATTAGAAACGTTTAACTCTCTAAAGAACAATAAGACAAGCTGTCACTCCCATTTCTGATTAACTAATGACTTTGTGGTCCTAATCCTCATTAACTTAATTAATCTTTCAAATTATATGTTTGTCATTATTATCAACATGATCTGTCAAAGTTGCCTACGACATTCATTTCACTAATTAAATGAAATAGCATCAAATCAAAATAAGAAAATAAAAGGTATTGGTTATAAGGCACAGTTAAAATATCAAGATTCATAAACTTTGACAGTGAATTCGAATCTAGAAGTTTAAATTTTTTGAAATAAAATTTATATATATGAAAACCACGTAAAAGTTTTTAAAAGACATAAAAAAATTCAGTCTAAGAAAAAAATCATGATTATCTCTCGATATTCCAATTGTGCTACATAAATTAGGTTGAATGGAGTATTAAAAACTATTCTATATCTACACCATTTACAAAAGTAGTATATACAAAACCTAGAGATCAATTATTTATTTATTTTTCACTGATATTTTTGGATTTTGGAACTTTAATTAACCGGAAAATTCACATATTCTTGATTATTTATTAATTAGGTAGATAATGTTAGTTGAGAAGAGTTTCCAAATGAGACTTTAGCTCAATTAGTTAATTATTTTATTCATCAATGAATATTTTAAACACCAGCTGGTAGCAAAGAGCTGTCATGATTTGATCAATTATCAATGCTTGGTGAAATTTGATTGCATTTCCTATTTATAATCGGATTTTTATAATTATTGTATTTGTGTGACTATAAAAGCTTGTCATTAAGGTAAAACATCGGAGCAGTTCAAGCTAAATTGTATTCAAATTAAAAAAATGTCGTTATTTTCTAAATGGACTAATTAATTAATAGTAAAGAAATAGTATCATTTTTTGAAACGAACTTATAAAAAAAAATAGCCATTCTTTTTCAATTTAGTACTTGACATATCCACGTAATAAAATTCAATATTAGTTTAACTTATATATACTGTCACTATAAAGGATTTTTAAAATCATGGCATGCCTTTGTCAATCGGACATCCCCATTGGACCGAGTTGCGTCGCTTTGGGACCCTTAATGGAAAAATGCTTTCTACGAAGAATTTTTTTATATGCAGGGCTCAAATTTAAGGCCTCTAATTAAAGGAGGAACAATTTCATTTGTTGCACTGTTGGTCCTGCTTAGGAAACTTACATCTAAATATACATCAGGTAAATTACCTAGTTATATAATTGTGTAAGAGGGAATTTTTTTTTTACACAAATTTATATAAGCTACTAGAACTCTTCATATCATTGGTGTAAGAAATTTCTTAACTTAAACTCTTTTCTTTTTTTTAATATATATACACGACTATTTTATTTTTTTAATATATATACACGACTATACTATTAAATTAAAAGTTGTTTCTTTATTATCTCATTTTCTTTCTCTATTCTACGAAATGACCGCACAATATAACTTGTGAACAAAAGCTCCAATAATAACAACAATCATGGAGTTTCATGACCATTTTTCTCAAGAATTAGCTCTACAACAACACCAACAACAAAACGTCGATGATGACGTTTCGGATCAGTCGATGAATTTCAACGTAAAGCTAAGTCAACAATATAGGGACGATGTCAATAACAACGAGCACAACAACAACAACAACAATAATAATAGTAACGTTTGGGATCAGAGCGAGAAATATAAAGCGGATATTTTGAACCATCATTTATCGGAACAGCTTCTTTCTGCACACGTGGCTTGCCTGAGAATCGCGACTCCGGTGGACCAGTTACCGAGGATCGACGAGCAGTTGACGGAGTCACAAAATTTGGTGGCAAAGTATTATGTTGTTGGTCAAAGTCAACGGTCTCTTGATGATAAAGAACTTGATCAATTTATGGTAATTTTACTATTTTTAAGAACTTGATCTATGGCAAATTCATGAACTTTTTTATGATGTTTAAGATTTAATAAATAGTAATAGATTTTAAGGGTTAATTATACATCAGTTGTTTTATAAGGTATTTTACACTATCAGATTATCTTGATTGTTGTAATAGATAATCTGTCTTGTTTTTAAGATTAAATCTCACAATTTAGGATGATTTTGGTGTAAAAATTGTGAAAGAGACTTCCTAGCTTGTTTTTGTCGGCAAGGATCAAACAAGTGTCCCCGTGTAAAAAGTCTTTTCCTGAAAGAAGTCATAAATAGATCATGTCCATTATTTATACTATTATTAAGTTATGTCTTATATATGTCTAGCGGATGGTGAATCCTATCTAGTATTTGAAATTAACTTTGAGTATTTTCTCGGTTTTCAAGAAAGGGTTTAATGGCTATAACTTAAGCTCTTAATATATATTTGTATGTACAAAAAGTACTATTTTTCGAATAATGTTCAACTGACTGACCTTCAACATACGTCACTATATTGAAGTTTCGATATTTTTGTGGTTGTTTCAAACCTCAACAAAGGAATAAGAGGGTTCATCATAAGATTTTTTGTCATTTCGATCGGTGTATATAATTTAAACTCTTTTTGTTAATAATTATGATGTAGGCACATTATGTTTTACTGCTCTCTTCTTTTAAAGAGCAACTGCAACAACATGTTCGTGTCCATGCAATGGAAGCTGTCATGGCTTGTTGGGATCTTGATCAATCTCTACAAAATTTAACAGGTAATTAATATAGCCATCTTTTATCAGTACAGGTTCAACTGAATTTAGTATTTTCACTACAAAATATCGATAGACATACTAATACATTTAAATCCTATGTTTTCGAAGAATATGAAGTTTATGTATTCATAGTCAAATATTTCTTAATACATATACAAAATCTACACAAATGATTTTGGGCTCCTATGGATGCGCCCCATATTCTTGATTAGTATTGATCCATATAGCCGACCCCAACTTATTTAGTACTAAAACATATATAATTGGTGATGTATCAAATTATGAACTCGTAATTTCATAATTACATCGAGTTCAAGACTACTAATACTTACAGATTGAACTCATCAAGTTTAAATTCTCGACCCGTGATAGGGGTAGCATCAGGAGAAGGTACAGGTGCAACCATGTCAGATGATGATGAAGATAATCAAGTAGAAAGTGAGACATATTGTCATTATAATGGAATTTTAGATGGACAAGAGAGTAATGGTTTTGGTCCTCTTGTACCTACTGAAAATGAAAGATTTTTAATGGAACGTGTGAGGCAAGAATTGAAACAAGAGTTCAAACAGGTAACAATTTACTATGTCTTTCTAGATTTAGGATGAGTTTTGTATGTAGGTTCAGTTGAATTCAGTACTTTCAGTTATAGATATATGTGTAGTTAAACATCTTGTGGTTGCGTCAATTAAAAAGTAGTATTCAATTAAAAAATCAAAGAAAGACCTTATTCCTTTCGACTTGATGTTTTCTTGATTTTTACATAAGGTTGATATTACTTATTTTTCGTTTTCCTTAAGGATATAATAACTAGACTCAATTTTTTTATTTGAAAAGAAAAATTTTGCTTTTATTAGCTGGAGTTCAAGTGTACTCGTAATTCTTTCTTAAAAAAAAAGTTGAAAGTTTGATCTTAATGCCTTTTAAAAACAATTTTTTTTAGAAAAAATATTTTAATAAGATAACGCTCGTTATAAATTTACTGATTCTAAATCTTGAATTATATTTTTTTTCTGTTAATTTTTTATTTTTTTTTGGTTTTCTAGGATTACAAGGGGAAGATTGTTGACATTAGAGAAGAAATTTTAAGAAAAAGAAGAGCAGGAAAGCTGCCTGGTGACACTACTTCTGCCTTAAAAGCTTGGTGGAAATCACATTCTAAGTGGCCTTATCCCACAGTAAGTACTACTATACACATTAAGTTACGGGTTCGAATTGTGAAATTAGCTATTATGTTGGTGTCAGTCGTCAATTAGGCGGCCCACATTATGCGCCTTCTTGGGGCACGGGCAAATGTAGACATTAAGTTACAGGTTCGAATCGTGAAATTAGCTATTGATGTTGGTGTCGGTCGTCAGTTAGGCGACCCACATTATGCGCCTTCTTGGGGCACGGGCAAATGTAGACATTAAGTTACGGGTTCGATAGACTAGCACTTGAAGTTATTATTGACGTAGAATTTAGAAACCATATTAAAGTTCAAATCTTGAATTCGTTTACGTTTTAAGGTGCAACCTTTCAGTATACCATAATTTGTTTTATTATTAACTAAAGAATTTAACACATAATTTATGTAAGATATGCTAGGCAAGCCCTAAACGTTGGGTGTTGAGCATGCTTAGGACGTACAGTGGGATGCTTAGGGCGCAAGTCTCACAAAACTAAGCCCCACACGGGCCATACATGAGTCTCGGGCGTCTTGTTAGAGCTCTCCCCCGGGGCGAGTCCCAACATTACGTGAATATGGAATGATTTGTGTATCGAACTGTCTTATTTTAGTGCATAAAACTTAACTTTCTTATTGTTTATGTTATATATAGGAGGAAGATAAAGCAAAATTAGTGAAAGATACAGGATTGCAATTAAAACAAGTCAATAATTGGTTCATTAACCAAAGGAAAAGAAATTGGCACTCTACTCCATCATCATCTTCTACACAGAAAAGCAAACGCAAAAGGTAGATTAATTTACTAATTAGTTAATTATTGTTACTCCAAATAAAATATTTTACTAACTTTATCCTAATATTTTGGTAAAAAATATATAGTGCAGGTGAAAAATCAAGAAATGATCACTTTACATGACAGGGAGAAGTGAGCATATCATGTATTAAGTGGAACTTGAAAGAATACGTTTGATACGACGAAAGTCATTTTCTGTTATGTAAAATACTCTCGATGTTCGATTAGTGAAACGGATTTTCAACTTATAAGTTGCGAGTGCATGTTCATTCAATGTCTCAAATTTTAGACTTTATATGTATATATACAAAAGTCGGATGAACTTAAAGTGTTAGATTTTGATTTAAAATGGTTGTTGTTTTGATGTGCTATACTTTTGTCTATAGGAAATCTAATATTTGAAGTTCTTTAGATTTTTATAGCGATCTCAAACTTTTAGTAATAACTGAGTTTATAGTAATTAAATATTCAGAAAATTTCTTAGTATATAAACTACGGAATAGGGTCAAAATTATCCCTGAACTATGCGAAATAGACCACTTATACCTTCCATTACATTTGGGATCAAAAATATCCCCGCAGTTATCCCAGGAGACCACAAATACCCTCAAGAGTTAACACCCCAATTTTTTTAGTGACGTGGCAAGCCACATGGGACTAATCCCTCCACCTAAGCATTGCCAACTAAGATTCACTACAAAAGAACTTGACTTTTAGTGGCGACAAAGTCGCCACAAAATCCCAAAATATTGCCACTAAAGGTTATGAGTGATTTTTAGTGGCGACTAAGGCTCCAACAATCATTCGCTAGTAAAACCTATTTTTTCTACAAAAAAATATGATAATTAATTTTCGATTGCGACCTAATTTTCTATAATAAATAACTTGCAATATCCATATTAAAAACATCCAATATTATTACGAAATATAATCAAAATTACTTCTCGATTCAAATCTCCTACTATATATATATATAATGCATCATTGTACATTTTATACATTTACATATGACATAAAAATAAAACATATAGTGTCTTCAAACTCCTACTTAATCGATATCATATTTGGTTTTTTAAAAACAATGAAGAAAAAAACACAAAATTAGAATTTAATGTTAAAAACTTTTAGTGACGATTTTATGGGCTTTTGTGGCGACTGTTGTTACCGCTAAAGGTCTAGTTCTTTTTGTAGTGAATCCTAGTTGGCAACACTTAGGTGGAAGGATTAGTCCCACGTGGCTTGCCACGCCAACAAAAATTTGGAGTGTTAACTCTTGAGGGTATTTGTGGTCTCTTAGGATAATAGCAGGGGCATTTTTTATCCCAAAATGTAACGAAGGTATAAATGATCTATTTCATATAGTTCAGGGGCAATTTTGACCCTTTTCCATATAAACTATAAAGTCTGAATAAAAGTTACTAGGGTTCACAATTTCACATGAATCAATAAATAACCCTCTATCTCCGTCCAATCAAAGACACATCCATGGATTTAAACTTCATGAGCTCGAATTGAGATTCCACCACAACTCTTCTAATTTATTGGAACAAAAAATTCATTGTTTATACGTATTTGATGAAAATTTATTTATATAGAATCCAAGTAAAAGCTTTCGAATGATAAGTACTCCTTTTATCTTTTATTTTTAATAGGGAGTATTTTGCCCTTAATATATAATTTGTGTCACAAATTCAAATTTAATCGAACTTCAATACCAGAGTGGAAAACAATAAAAAAGAAGATAGTACTCTAATTATATTAATAACATTTTCAATACTTTTAAAATAAAAAAGTGTCACAAACCATTTTTGCTCTGTTTTTGAGCAATAACAGGGACAGCGAACCTAGCTGAGAAATTACACAAAAGCCCATCTTCTTCCCCATGAGCTCCATCATCAAAATTCAGAGCATAACTCTGAGCATCATACTGAAATTGAGCTTTCGATTTCTTCGAATTACGATTCATTTTTCTTAATAAATTCTTCAATATCACCAGCCATGACTCTCTGTGCTCTGTTTCATGATCTTGTAGCAGAGATCTGCTGTGAACTTCATTACCTTTGCCCCAATTGAAACAGGAAAACTTTAAACAACTACACAATCCACATCCAGTTGGAGAAGATGATGAATCGTAGTAGTAATTAGGAATTTTGGTTTCTTGTTTGGAATCGGTAATGGGAATATAACTATTCATGGTACTCTTGGTTTTTCTTCTTACTCAGAAGTTTCGAGTTCAAATTCTAATTTCGAGCACTGAATGAGAAATCAAAAATATGTATGTAGGTGTGTGAAGACGGAGTATATATATATATATATATGTCGGCTTTTAATCAGAAGTCTTGCGTTTGGACCAAGAGGGCGGGCCTTTGAATCAATTGAATTCAAAATGAATATCGAATACTGAAAACGAGAAATAATATGTTTGTATGTGTTGGGAGGAGAGTAGGTGAAGGAGGAGAATGATGGGAATTTGAGAATTGGTGAGTGTTTACTTATATTGTATTTGTTTGTGCGTGTGGGATGTGTGTGTGAAGGGATAAAAAGGAAGTGAGAAGAGGAAAAGTGGTTGCAAATTAAAGGAAGATTTAAGAAATATTAAACCAATAAGAGTAAAAGGAAGGTTCCTTCTTTTATTTTAAAATAAATAAATAAATAAAATCTATTGTGCCATTTACTTTAGCAAAAACAATAAAAACCTAATTGGAAAAGGATAGTTGTTTTTGTTTTTTTTTTATATCCACATAAATAAAGAAAAAAAATGTGTGTGTCAAAAAAAAAATTATTTGGTCCGGAGAAATAGGTTAAAAATTGATATACACATAGCCAAATTATAGTTGAAAAGTCTATTACAACTTTCATTGTTATAATGGAATGAATAAAATTTCCTTGTTAAATTAAAGATCTCAAATTTAAATTTTAAATCATAGAAGAACATTTCTTTACTCCTTTTTTTTTGGGTTTGACTTAGATTATGACTAGAATAGATATATTATTTTGTAGTATAATTAAATATATAAAACACTTCCTAACAAAAACGATTTTATATCTAGAGAGAGTCCAATCAAGACTTCTGATTAAGAATGTATACCGTGTGGCCGGCAAAAAAAATATCTTATCAGTTAGGTATAGTAATTACCACAAGTCTTCAAAGCAAAGAAGAATTAAAACAGCGTTGACAGTATTCGTGTCTACAACGTGTGGAATGATAAATGAGTGTGTACGATGCAGTTCATTAATTAATTTTTTGCTTTCATGTTGACGTGACATATTAATATTTTCTTGAAAAATAATATGAAGAGAAAAATAACTTCAAGAGATCATAAAACGCTTGTATTGTTGACAATTTTATTTATGATTTATATATGTTTTTAATTTTTTTATTAATGTGTGTGAGTGAAGCTAGCCGGGTGGAGGGGTCTAATTATAATTAGGTTTCTTATTAATATGGATATTGAAATAATAGTAATTATCAAATATGATGAAAAATATTTGCTAGTAATAATATTTAAAAATTTATTTGTCATATTCAACATCCTAATGGCAACTCATGATGCTGACTTAGTTCTCACTTCCATTAAAGTAATGTATATGCTAGCTATTCTTTTGTGTCATCTTCCTTATCTATTTCTTTTCTTTCCCCCCTTTTTTCCAACATAAACTAATATCTTGAGATCTTATCAAAAAGTATGAGTCATAAAAGAGTCATATTCTTATCCAAATAGAGATTCTACTAAGATTTTATATATTCAAAATAGATTGTTGTATGGAGTGGAGTGCTGGTCAGTCAAAGCTTCTCATGTTTAGCAAATGCATATTGCAGAGATGAGAATGTTAAGGTGTGGTTATATTAGAAGCGATACAATTAGAAATAAAAATATTTGAAATAAGATGTAAATGACATTCGTGGTGACCAAGATGAGAGAAGCGAAACTGAGATAGTTTGAATATGCGAAGAGAAGATGCATAGATATACCAGTGAGGAGGTGCGAGAGATTGATTATAGAGGGTACGCAGAGAGGCAAGGGTAGACCAAAAAAGTATTTGAGGAGAGGTAATACAACAGGATATGACGCAACTTCAAATTACCGATAACATGATCTTAGATGGGAAGTGTGGAGAACACGTATTAGGGTAGAATGTTAGTAGATAGTGTAGTGTTGTCTTGCTTAGGATAGTTGATGCTTGGCAGCATACTACTTGTATTACTGTAATTCTTGTTTTTGATATTCATCAATATTTATTATTGTTTTCAATAATCTATCCAAATATATTGTGTATTGTATTTCGATTGCTGCACTATTTTATTGTTGTTGTTGCTCTATTATGATAGATTTTGTATTTGTTTTCTTGTGACATGTTATATTTTCTTCGTTATATTTCGATATTTTGTATTCATATTGATGAATGATTATATCTCAATGAGCATTGGGGAGTCTCTTATTAGTGCTTTCTAACGAGAGATATTTCATGTTCAAAGCTTGAGAGCGAGATATTTTTTTATTAAAAATGAAGGAATATTTAAAATCGAGCACGCCTCTATGGTTTCTCTACTATGAAGATGAAATACAATGCAAATAGAAATTTTCAAAACCAAAATTCAGTCTCTGAGTTCTGATTTCTTTCTCCCCTAAATTAGAGGTAAAACAAATGATTTGCGATGGATTGGTAAATATTCTTCAATTCTTAATTTGAATTAAACTCTCAAATTAACACCTGAATATGAACTCGTATTTAGTATGGAGCATTTTATCTCATAGCCTCGAGTTTGAGCTCTGAATATGAGCTCATCGAAGCATTTTATCTCATAATCTCGAGTTTGAGCTCTGAATATAAGCTCGGCGAAAGATTTTCTCCCATAGTCTAGAGTTTGAGCTCAGAATATGAGCTCGTCAGAAGCGTTTTACCTCCAAAGTGGGAAATCCCGTCCCAAATAATAAGCATAGCAACGCAAAGAAAACAGAGAAACAGCGAAAAAAGGCAAGAATTTTAAGATTATAAATCTATGTACAGAATCAAACTCAACTGTAATTTCATCTCTATAAAGGAAAAAAACAACAAAACAGAGTAAAATTACCACACAAAAGCACTTAACTTGCAGCAGCTACTTCCCTCACTGGCATGGATTTCACCGGCGGCGAAGGAGGAAGTCGAGAGGAGAAATTCCTCAAAGGAGCAATTTCTTCATTATCATCAAATCCATCTTCAAAATTCAGCGAATAACTCATCGGATCGTAACGGAAATCAGTAGAAGCGTGTCTTTTGTGTCGATTCGATCCAGTTCCGACGAAATTCAGAACGTTTAACACCTTATCTTTTAATTTTGGAAGGTTACTAGGTTCATCGTTGTTGACCCAAATCAGCGCCGGATTCTCATCGGACGATGACGGCGGCGGCGGCGGAGGACGGCGGTGAGGGAAGCAACAGGAGAAACAGAGGGAGTTTTTGAGTTTCTGCTTGAGAGATGGAGTAGGAACGGAGAAATCATCGTTTTCGTCCATTGGAGCTGAGAATTGAGAGTGAAAATGGGCGAAGGAAAATTGGGGATTTTACATAGAAAAAGACGAAAAGGGACAAATTGACCTGTTTTGGTTCCCACTGTTTTGTTAACAAACTTTGTGTGTTATCCTTATCTGCGGCTATTCACAAGTGGTATTGTATATACTGGATCCGTTCTAAAATAGTTGTTCACATTTTGATTTTTGAAAGTCAATTGAATTAATTAGGATATTTAAAAATTATACTTATAAATTGTAATATACAGAACAAGATGAATGTATCATTTGCTTGGACCAATTTAGGATTATGTGTAATTAGAGGCGGATTCAAAATTTCAACTAAGAAGTATTAAAATATAAAATTGTAAATTCGTATAGAAGCCAAGAAATATTAATATGTAATATATATGTAGGGATGTTCGTGGTTCGGTTTGGATCAGTTATTGATTAAAACCAAAACCAAGCCAATCTAAGAAGTATTAAAATATAAAATTGTAAATTCGTATAGAAGCCAAGAAATATTAATATGTAATATATATGTAGGGATGTTCGTGGTTCGGTTTGGTTCGATTTGATTCAATTTTTCTGGTTTATTCGGTTTGAAGTAATAATTTCTTTATGAGGAAGTACGTATCTCGATAGACATAAACCCTAGTACATGAACAATCCACAAAAAATTTATTGTCGGTTCAATTAAGCAATTAAGTGATACTAAAGTTATCATTATACGAACAAAGTGATTCAATTAAGAGAAAGTGTGACTATTTTTTGTGAAGATTGATAGGTAAAGATTAATGGATTTTGATGGATTTAGACTTGAGATTGTTATAGTTGGGTTTGAGAAAATGGTAGAGTAAAGACTTGAGTTAATTAAAATTTAACAAAATATTTATATTTTATTTATGAATAATATATAAATAACTATAAAATTTATATATCTAATTTATCGGTTCAGTTTGGTTATTTTTGCTGTTGTTTTTTAGTAAAACCAAAGCCAAACCAAATAATATCGGTTTTCAAAATTTAAAACCAAACTTTTTTAATCGGTTTGATTCGGATTGCGGTTCGATTTGGTTTTTTAACCATAACCATGAACATCCCTATATATATGTATAAAAGTAATTTTATTCTAACAACAAAATGTAGTTTTTTAAAGAGGTGTCGATCGTTATCCCTGTGGCTTCGCCATTGCAGAGGCGTATCCAGGATTTCGGTAAGATGGGTGCACGATAACGAAAAAATGTTTCTTAAAACATTTGATTTAATTATATAAAAAAAATTATAGTGCTAAATTTTTTAAAGAATTTTCAATGTAACACACTTGAAAATTTTGAAAGATTTAAGAAAAAAAACAAAAGAAAAATTAGTTGAAACATCACAAGTGTAACCGATAACCACTTAGAGAGGTGTTGCTTAAAAACAGAAGATAGATATAAGATTTAAATTTATATCCACTCAGAGAGGTGCACCCTATCATCATCATATTATTATATGATACTTTAAACGTGGATTCACATATCTATATTTAAATATATTTTTAACATATAACACTACTATATATAATCTAGAGAGGGAAGCATGGGTTCACGTGAACCCACGATGCCCTCTAGATACTCCCCTGTGCCATTGTGTGTGACAACCTAATGCAATTACCTTGTGGTCATAGGTTCCATTCAAAGTGTTTAGTGTCATGGTTTAAGTCTAGTGCAAATTGTCCTTGTTGTCGAATGGAAATCTTTGATCGTAATCTTTTCTATATCGTATCAATATTATATATTTATATATCAAAAGATTGATAAACGTTTTAACTAATCCACAAGGCGTCTATACTATAAAAGGTTTTGAATTTTTTTTGGGAAAATGCATAAGTACCCCCCAACCTATGCTCGAAATCTCAGAGACACACTTATTCTATACTAAGGTTCTATTACTCCCCCCCCCCCTCCCCCCCGAACTTATTTTATAAATAATTTTCTACCCCTTTTTGACCTACGTGACACTATCTTGTGGGCCCATCGCGTGTTGACATTTTTTTCAAGGATAGTGTCACATAGGCCGAAAAGGGATAGAAAATTATTTATAAAATAAGTTCAGAGGGGTAATAGGACCTTAGTATAGTATAAGTGTGTCTCTGGGATTTCGGGCATAAGTTGGGGGTACTTATGCATTTTCCACTTCATGAAAGAACAAAATAGTTAGTGTGCAACAATACCTAATACATTCAATCAAATGCAGGTTAAAAAAATATTTTACCAGAAATTATTATACCTTATACATCACACTAAACGACTTTTATATTGTTTTCTCAATGAGTATATCAAATCTAAATGTGACAAATAAAACTAATAAGTATGTCAAATTTAAATGTGACAAATAAAATTAAACGGAGAAAGTAATTCCTAAAATATCTTAAGGGCTAATTACTTTTAAATTAGGAAATGATTATTTGAACCCGTTTGACTCATGAAAATTATTAAATTCATAAGTTTTGAGCTCATAATTATATTTTAAACCAATATTCAAACTTCAAAAACAAATATAAAAAGGTAATAAAACTATAAATTGAAAAAAAAAAGTATTTCACCCAAATTTCATAAAACTAATTACATTATATTCCTACTCTTTTTCAAATTACAAACATCGCTTAAAGTTAAGGATTTCTGATACATCACGTTCTGATTTCAAATAAATCACTCAACTTCTGATACATCGCATCCTGATACATTACCTTTTGTTGATGCAAGACACATCTGTCTCAAAACATCAATCAATATCCTGATACATTGCCGTTATTGATACAAGACACACCTATCTCTATAGATTGCATAAAAGTGATGTATTTGAGAATAGTCAGAGTAGAATCTTTTGTATTTTTTCAAACGGTAGAATTTTTTAAAGAATATGATAAAAAAAGTTGTGTATTTTAGTAACATTTTTTTGAAAAAAAAAAAAAAAAACCTAGGTGGATTTTGGGGTGGATGGGAGTGGGGTGGGGTGGGATTTGCATTTCGCCATTTCCTGGGAGGTTCCCGGGAAGACGGTCAAAACTCCCAAATTCTTCTTTCCTTAATTTGTACGACATAGACTAATTTAGAATGTTTAGATCTGAACAAACATTTTAAAAAGAAGAAGAAGAGGAAAATTCAAAATCCCTTTGGATAATTTCTTGTTGTTCTTCTTCTTTCTCAGTAAATCTTGGCCTGTACATAAACCCCATATACAGATTGACTCAAATAACATACAAAGATTTGATTTTGAATGTATGAGATTGTAAAAACATGATGGAACTCAAACCCCTTAATTCAGTTCCATCTATAAAGCCACCACCAGGTCACAATCTCTTCCCAACACTCAATCCACCAGAAAAGACTCTAACTTTCCATAAATTTTTGGTCCTTTTCCTTACTTTTATAGCATATGCAGCTTTTCATGCCTCTAGGAAACCACCTAGTATAGTAAAATCAGTTCTTGGCCCTGAGATCAAAGCTCATAATGGTACAGATAGCACCATTGTTGCAACTGGATGGGCCCCATTTGAAGGTGCTAGTGGGCCACATCGTTTAGGGGAGCTTGATCTTGCATTCTTGTTAGCATATTCAATTGGGATGTATTTTGCTGGACATATTGGTGATAATATTGATTTGAGGATTTTTTTGACTGTTGGAATGTTGGGTAGTGGGGTTTTGGTGATTGCTTTTGGTTTAGGTTATTTTCTTGATGTGCATTGGCTTGGTTTTTTCTTAATTGTTCAGATTTTGTGTGGGCTTTTTCAATCTATTGGGTGGCCTTGTGTTGTGGCAGTGATGGGAAATTGGTTTGGGAAGGCTAAGAGGGGTTTGATAATGGGAGTGTGGAATTCAAATACCTCTATTGGTAATATTATAGGTTCTCTAGTTGCCTCATCTGTGTTGAGTTTTGGTTGGGGCTGGTCTTTTGTATTGCCTGGCTTATTCATTTTGGTTGTGGCAGCTTTGGTTTACATGTTTCTTGTAGTGAGCCCTGATCACATTGGTCTTGAATTGGCTTCGAAGGAGATTGAGATGAATGTGGAGGGAGTTGCATTAGTGGGCTCGGAGACGGGTGAAGTGGAAGAGGAGGGAGTTGTGGAACTCGAAATGGAGGGTGCTGGTGCAATCGGGTTCTTGCAAGCCTGGAGATTACCGGGAGTGGCACCGTTTGCGTTCTGCTTGTTTTTCTCCAAGCTAGTGGCTTACACATTTTTGTATTGGTTGCCCTTCTACTTAAGGCAAACAGGTACTTATTTCGCGGAACTTTTACTGGAAAAACTACTTCTTTTGTGATATGTGATTAAGTTTAGGATTGTTTCCTTTTTGCTTGCTAGTTGTAAAACACTGCCGTCCTATTTTCCATATGAATAACTTAACTCGAATGATTAGAACTTGTTACTTTGTACTAACATTGGAGTAGTTGAGAGTTGGAGACACATATGGGTGTTCATTTGCTTCTGCTAGAATGAGAATAGAGGTCGCAAAGCTTTCCCTTTGGCACATGAAACAGTTATGATGTTCAAAATTAGATCTTAATCTGCTGATTTAGTATGACTATTAACATGTATTGCTTTGTTTATGAGTGAAGTACTCCCTGTTCTATGTTGATGACCCAAACAAACGTTCGTTCTGATGTCCAGTTGTGTAAAATTTTAATCTTCGTTTCAGCAACTCCTACCATGGGTTGCATGCTTAAAATTTTGTTGTTATTGCAGTTGTTGCTGGTGTGCAGCTGTCTCACAAAAATGCTGGGATCCTTTCAACAGTTTTTGATATTGGAGGAGTCATTGGAGGGGTTTTGGCAGGAGTCACATCCGATATAATTGAAGCTCGTGGGGTTACTTCCATTGTGTTCTTGTTGTTATCAATACCTTCTCTTCTTTTCTATCGCATATATGGAAGTGTATCTATGTTTACGAACATTGCTTTGATGCTCATTTCTGGTGCACTTGTCAATGGTCCTTACTCCCTTATTACCACAGCAGTTTCAGCAGATCTTGGTACTCAGAGCCTGATAAAGGGGAACTCTCGTGCATTAGCTACGGTGAGTGCAATTATAGATGGTACTGGTTCAGTAGGGGCAGCTCTCGGGCCACTTTTAGCTGGATATATTTCAACAAGAGGATGGAACAGTGTGTTTGTTATGCTAGTTCTTTCAATATTCATTGCAAGCCTATTTTTAATCCCTATCGTGAAAAATGAGATTAAAGGTAAGCTGAACGAAGGGAAATGGCTTTGGATCAGCGCATTTAAAAGGTGATTCAGAACCTCTCGAAGGTAAGCCTACGAATACCTCTTTTTGAATATGAAAATGGCTCAGGATTTGAACCTTTGAAGTAGTGCAGCAGCTCCTATTCTTTTGTATAGATTCTTAAAGATCTCTATAGAGGAGTTCAACAGTAGACTCGCGAAGCTGTTATTCTTGTATGTCCTTTTCTGGATATCTCAATTTAGCTATACACATTTCACAGAACAGTGAATACTTGTTATATTATTCTGTACTATTTAGCTGACTTCGAGTATCATTTTTGTGCCTTTTCGCGTTTCTTGTAGCATGAGATGGATGTGTTGCTGTTCTGTTGAAACATATTAATGAAAGAAATTTATGTTGATGTATAATCTGAAACCTCATAGTTGCTGGTATATACCATTTTCTTACTTTGCATGTTGCTACATTCAATTGTGAACTGAATGTGTTAAACGAACTAGTAAGCAAAATAGACCTGTTGTGCTTATAAAACGCATGCATGGAGATTCTGTCTGTCGAAGATTCAAAAATCTGTGAGGGGAGGAGACGAAGAATGCATGCATGGAGATTTTGGCTGTCGGAGATTCAAGAATCTATGAGGGAAGGAGAGAAAGAAGGCACATGGTCAAAGATGCTTGCTGGCTATACGCATGTAAGCAGATCACTGTTATGTTGCTCGAACTCTCAAAAAAAACGTTGCCACACCATGTGCAAAGGTACTTTCGGAGGATCAAACACACACATCCCCAAGACAGCAGAAAGTATGAAAGTCATTTATCAAGGTTATTACCAACAAGATATTTAGTGTTTCAAACAAGTTGAGGTCAACTATATTAACGGGTTGTGATAGACTGACATCCAACACAAAACTAGAATCATATAATTGCTTTAATAATGAAGTAGTATATAACTATATATTAATCAATGATAATCTAAAGTTTATGCTACCACAAGCTGAATTTTAAATGTGTGCCCTTTCAGTAAAGGGTGCATACAATTGAAGAATGAATTATTTACAAATTTTTGGTTCAATGGCTTGCTCATTTCTCCCTCAAGCTTTTATTCCATCTGCTTCAGTTCTAAATTGGAACATTACAAGGTCTATCTCAGAGATATTTACAAAGTCGAATTCGTTCTCAACTGCTGCCAAAGTTAAATTTTTTGTACGCGATAGCTCTACCCTTCGAGTAAAGATTTCAGATTCTGAAGCCCCTCGGCAGAGATACACTTCCTGATTCTTGATCTTTGGAATACGATAGGTGGTGGTGGCTCGGAGTGAAAACATACCAGGACTACTGTTAAGTTGTCTATGGCACCGCGTTTTTTGGCCTCGTCTACTATTTCCTTGCAGCATAATTTCACATTGTTGTGTTCTTGCAGTCTCCTCCGGGCAAAATCCACTGCATTTTGGTTTCTGAAAACATCCCAAATTCCATCACTGCCGATGATCAGGAACTCGTCCTCCTTAGTCAGTGTAAGCAGTTTTAGTTCAGGTTCAGCACTCAATGGACCACCTTTATCAACTTCCTTCAGACCCTTGATGTGCCAGTTACCCAGTGCTCGGGTCACGCCCAACTGTCCATTCAAATAGCCATCATCGACAAATCCACCCAAGGACTCAACACGTGTTCTTTCATTGACACAACAAGGTCTGTGATCCTTTGACATTTCTATAGCCAGTCCACCTCGAGAGAGAACAGCTCGACAGTCACCAGCATTTGCCACGAGTAATGATCTGCCAATCAGATAATAGTACAGAAAGATAAGAACTAATACTAGACACTGATCTGTAGTTCAATGAAGATAAATTTGTAAGGATAAAGAATGAATGAAACCAACAAAATTCCCTACTTGAAGAACGATACAACTCAATAAGTCAGCGTATGGAGTTATCGGTATTTACTCAGATATGTGATATGGAGAAACTAAAGAAAGCTTCAAAAATACCAAGACAACACGCTGGTTGATTGAACCTATGTTGCTCAAACTCTTCAAAAATACTGTCGATTGTGTATCGGATCCTCCAAAACTATGCACATTTGGAAGATCCAACATGGGTTCAGCAGCATTTTTGGAGGGTCCGAGCAACGTAGTATTGGACTATAAATGAGAAAATAGTGAAGTATGACGAGGTCAATATGCAGGGACTGTTACCTTCCAAATATCATAGCAGTGAGTGCAGTTGTGCCTGAGGACAAGGCAGAATCGAGGGAGCATGAATTGGCAAAAGCAGCATCGGTCTCCAAAAAAGATTTACTGACCACTTTTTCGAGCTTCAAAGGGAAATCTGCATCCTCTACGATGATTCTTGGTAAGCAGTCGCGTACAAATAGTGCTGCTCCCGTTCCACCATGTCCATCAAAGACCTGTCACTAAAACCATTTGCATCAGAGGTCGAAGAATATCGAATACTAGATATGCTACGAATTTGTAGAAAGCTTGGCTTATTACATCTTTTGAGTTCTCCTCCATCTCTCCTATGGAAATCCTATTCTATATAAAGGCGAAAAGTGATTCTCAATTAAAAACTAGTAAAGTATTAGACAATATGTTTGGTGCTAAATGGGTAACTAATAAGATAAGTTTTGTACACCTGCAGGTCCAAGTGTCAGCTCCTATGCCACACGGCCACATAGGTAAAGATGCTTAGTGTACTGAGCTCAAGCAGCTTCATTTTCGAACACTAGTGACAAGTATAAACTACAATGTCTCATGGTTTTTGTGATTCTCTGGTGTGATTGGTTGGACTACAATTCTAAATAATTATGGTATCTTGTTGGCTTCTTTTTTATGTGAGCAGGGGTCATGATCGGGTATGCAAGATTTGAGAACTCTAGATCATCAGTCATCACTAATGCTTTTTATATAGTTATATTTGATTATTATTACAAATCTTGCGCTATTTTGCAATGGCAGAATACCTAACCCTCTCAAGTCTCACCCTACCCCCACTCAAACTTGGCAGATATTATTAGTTGCACATCTAAACTATTCATTGTCCTAATTCTCCCCTGGATTTGGCTATTTCATAGCATTTACCCCGAAATTCTTTTTATCAATACGACAAACAAATCTTATAGTGAGTAAAGAACAAATGCACATACTAGTAAATTGAGTAAATATTTAAGTACAAAAGCTCGTGATGCTCAATGAGTTTAAAGAACTTACTCCATAGAAGGAGATAGCTTCCTCATCACTAATACTATGACCAAAGTTCTTAGCCATGTCTGCAATACAGATGTGAGTATCTTCCATATCACGACGGCCTCCAATATCAGACCACTCTCCGGACCTAAGAGTTGGGAGGAATTTATTGAAGAGTATATGCTGACGGTCTGCAATAGTCGTATCCTCAGATATACTTTCCATCTGAAGAACAAAGGAAAGAACTTACTTGTAAGGTAATGAATAAGTTCATAGGCATGTCACAATCAGCTTAAATGTTATACTGCTGTTCAAGTGAACTTTCTATTTAGAAACGAAGCTAAAAAGAGTTATTTCAGCAAACAGTACAGAAGGAGCATAGGGACATGAAGGTGTGATACTACTCAACTATGTTGCTCAGACTTTCCAAAAGTGCTACTGCACTGTATCGGATCATCCAAAAATACACTACTTTTGGAAGATCCGACACACATATGATGTTATTTTTGAAGAGTTCATGCAACATAGCTACAATCATCATCAAGAATTTCCATCTATGAATAACTTTTGACCAGAAAGACTAATAACACCGTATAAACAGATGAAAAAAATTCTACCAAAATCCCACACTTCACTGGAAGAAAGAATCCCGAGAAGTGAAAATTACAAAAGATAAACACCCATAATTAATAAATAGACCATCTAACAAAAGTTGACAAAATCAAAAAGGAAAAGAGAAAGAGAAACCAAGAAAAAGACATGTTGAGGATAGCAAATAGTAGAGGAACATGAAAGCCCCAAGCCAGCATAATAACAAAAGATAATTGAGAACACAATTATTGTTCCTTCAAAGTACATCGCCGATAGTAACTACACCTTAAAAGAAGAAGAAAAATCAAATCTTGCAAGATTATTGAACAAAATCCCAAATTGACCAATTTCATTATGACTAACAGCTCTCAACATCCACTTGCAAACCCAAAAATGCATAATTACAGCAAGAAGTACACCTCCATCTATACTAGTTAAGAGTCAGCTATATCAACCCTTTATATCCATATACCAGAAAACAACTTAAATGTTGCAAGATTATTGAAAATTATTTCCAAATGGACCTCAACATTCATTTTCGAACCAAAAACATCTCTAAAGCATAATTCTAAATAAGCTGGAGTCAACTATATGAATCCTATCTATTCATATACCATAAAAAGATTATGTCTTGCAAGCTTATTGAAAAGATCCCAAATTAATTACACTAACAAGTAACACCTCTCTCTTTCTTTTGAGCCGAGCGTCTATCAAAAACAACTTCTCTACCCCCACAAAAATAGAGGTAAGTCCTAGGTACATCCTACCCTCCTTATATCAGAAACATCCTCTCTACCCCACAAAGGTAAGATGTAAGGCCTGTTACATCCTACCTACCCAGATCACACTCGTGAGATTATACGGGATATGTTATTGTTATAAACAAGTAACACCTCTCAACATCCACATGCAAACTAACTGGCGGAGCCAAAATTTTCACTAAAAGTATTCATAATATAAAAAAGTAAACACACGAAGAGATCAAGTGAATTCAACATCTACCACATATAAACAACAACAACAACACCTATGCTTCAAATCCCAAACAAGTTAGGGATCGACTATATGAATCACCACTTCTTCATTTAAGCTCATTTCATACACACATAAGAAAAAGTAAACACACGAAGAGATCAAGGGAATTCAACATCTACCACATATAAACAACAACAACATCTATGCTTCAATCCCAAACAAGATAGAGATCAGCTATATGAATCCTCACTTCTTCATTTAAGCTCATTTCATATATACATAAAAAAAAAATTGACCTTTAGTGTAAACAGGGATTCACATGAACCCCTTGTACCCCTAACTCCACCCAACCCAACAAAACTTAGCCCAACAGGTAAAAGAGATAAAATAAACACTAATACCTAAAAAAAAATGGAAAATTACTATATAACACATATATGATTAATAAAACAGATCCTTACTGGGAATGAATTTCTCATCACAGCATAGCTAGAAGATGAGTTTTTTTCAAATTTCTCTTTATGAGTATTTGGGAATTCACTTTCTATTTGTAAAGATCTGATCTTTTCACTGCAATCAGTCTTGGAAATGTCCAAATTCTCCATATCCTCACTCACTTCCTCTGAATCTTGCACACACATTACTGTTTATATCAGTTTTAACAGGAAAAAAAATGGTGTATATTTTTTTTTCCACTTTATTTTCTGCAAGTTGTTAGGTGATTAAAAGTTGCTGAAAGCTTTGTGAAGGAATAGAGAATATCAAGAATTGAAAATTTGATGAGAAGATTCTTGGAATATGTAAAGGGGTCAGATGGAAATTGATAAATCAAGATTATATATAACTCTGTATAATATAATGTATATATATATAATACATACAATTACAATATAGAAGAGAGACAATGAAAACTTGAGAAGTTTCCAGAATTATTTTTTTTTCAAGAAAAAAGTGGGGTGTATTACTGTGAGAAAGCAATGAAACAGGGGCTTTCCTATTTGTTTTTGAGGTTTTTAGGTGTATTTTTTTTTTCCTCTTTTAATTTTTGTTGGTTAGTATACTTTTTTTACTTTATGGGAAGCTTTGGGGGTGCTAGTGGGTTTTTTTTTCCTATAATTATAATTGGCATAATATAATAAGTTAAATTTGACTTTAACGGATAACTAAATATTGCAATTTTGACAATATAAATTTAGATATTTTAATTTGATTTCGATTGGTAATTAAATATTTTATTTTGATTTATTAGTGTTTTGTGAATGTCCGACGTTGAACGTGACACATAAATTTTGAGAGTGTTTAGATGATCATTTTGTAAGTTATAGTGTTTACTTGACGAAGTGAAGACGAATAGAGATATATAGTTGAAATGTTTACTTGTCACTTGAGATCAGATTTGAGTGTCTATTTATATATTATACGAATATAATTACTCATTGTCAAACTTAGAAAAGAAATAGAAAGAAAAAAGAAATATTATTCTCGATTGTCATCTATATATATCATGCTAATGTGTGATATAGTATTGATCAAAATTCAGTAATCACTTCGCTATAGTAATTTAGTTGATTTAGTGTAAACTTCTAATTATATTAATGTATAATTATACTTATTGTTATATTTGATACCATGTCCTTACAGTTAATTATCTTTTCGAACAATTTTGTTATGCTTAACTCTCTATTTTTATAATATAAAAATAAAATTTATATATATTTTTTTCGACTCTACTTATAAAATTACGCAACTTTGTTTACAATCAATATACTTGAGTTACACAAAAGGTAATTCTTTGATTGATAAAAGAGCAAGGAAATGACTCATAGATTCCACTTTTAATTTCATGAACCAAACATCTATTGAAAAATGTATATCAACTAAATATAACAGAACACATATTTAAGTATATATATATATATATATATATATATATATATATATATATATATATATATATATTAATGCAACTCTAGAAATGAAAGAGTAGAAAATAAAAAAAATAAGAAAAAAAATGGGGAAAAGAGTAATGGGATGGTATACCTAACTTAATGATATACATTTATGATATATGAAACACGTGGTAATATTAAATTCCATATAAAAAAATTTAGCTTTTCAATTGAGTGATTGTCAACTTGCTATTATTCATAAATAATTAATGCCACATTTATATCCACATAATAAACGTGTCAAAGAAAAAAGTTCATTTGTTTTCTTTTTGGAAAGGAGAGTATGACAAATCAAATTTACATAAAAAAAAAAGTAGTACTATATAATTATTCTACTACTCCCTTAATATTATTTTTTCGTTTGGAACAAAATTCTTTAACGTTTAGAGTTAATTTTTGAGATTGAATAAGCTATAAACTTATTAGATCTTGACACATAATTTATATTGCACTAATGTTGAACCTCTCGTGTGTATAGCTCTAAGCATGTTCGATGGTTTAATTAGAAAATTCGCATAGATAAAGTGTAATATTTATTTATATATAGTTATCGTCATGTATGATTTTCACATGATCGTTTTTAGTACTTGAACAATTTTATTGCCTAAATTAGATTCAATAATTATTTTTTCGCTCTTTTTTTTTTTGTTACGAAATAATTACAAATTTACAAATCATTAACCTAATTAAGAGTAACGTGAACTTAGAAAAGTTGGTACGTATACACAACTTATATAACTTAAATTTATATTTATCAAAATGAAAAATAATAAAGCTGTTGGAGACAAGTAATGTTGCCCTTATTAAAAGTAAAAATGATTAATTAAGAGTCAAAGTTTGCTAATTAGCCAGTGTGAAAGCAATTAGATATGATGTAACATAAGATTTTCTCCATATTTATACATGGGAAATGAATTATATTATTGGGCACGAATTTGGAAAGTGATGTAATTATGTATTTTTATAACTTGGTATAAAAAGGAAGAGATTACGATATATTTATTTTTTTCTTTTGATGATGCAAGAAAATGACATTAGATATTTTTGTAACCATAAAGGAAAAGATAGTGAAGCACTTTAGAATTCTAATCTTTGAAACCACACTTGAGGTCGCGGTGATGGAGTATTAAGTATTTTTTTATTTTTTAGATATAAATCTCATATATTGAGTTTTTGATATGAAATTGTTATTATCATGGAGTATTTTATATTCAATGTGAGATTTCTTGATGCAGAATTGAATTTAGTCTGTGGCTATATTACGGGGAATGAACATTGAGTGGGAAACAAAAATAAACTAAAAAATATGATAGAGTGGTTATTAAGTATTTTTTTATTCTTAATTAGATATTTCGAATTAGAATTTAAGAGTGGATTTACAGTGTGATTTTTTTACGCCAATTCAAATTAGTTCAATCAAAATAAATATCGAACACTGAAATTTTTTTTAAAAAAAAATTCTAATCTTGAAAAATAGGAAAAACAAAAAAACTTTTTGTCATGTTAGATGGTCCATAGCCTAGTCAGTTTTGATTGATGTCTACACAACAAACAAAGACTAAAAGAAAGGTGTGGATTCCTTTCTCTCATTCCCTTTTTTTTAAAACATGACTTAATTATCATTTTGAGGAATCAAAACATTTTTTCTTAATTGCGATTAAGATTAAATATAAACACTAATTTATAGTATTTTATGTAATTTTAGATGTATAATTATATCTAAACTATACAATATCTTTATCGTAGTATACACAAAAAATGAGTCGTGTGACCTTCGTGCATCGAACTTTGTCACTTCTATTTTCATTCCATGTGACATTCTTTTCTTTTAATTTCTTTCAAAATGAATAATACTTTTTAAATAATATAATTTTAAATTTTTTATTTTATTTTTAATAACATACTTTTATTTATAGCAACAAACATATTGTAAATTGTTAAATAACATTACATAATATTTTTTTAAGAGAAGTATTGGAAACACCATTAAACTAGGAACAAATTATTAATTTCATTTCTAAATTATTAATAGCCTTAAAAATATTTCTCTACTTAATTAACTAAACTTAAATATACCCCGATATTTTTTTAATTAGGAGCAAAGTCCAAATCAAGGGGTTTCCATTGCTATGGGAATTTAGTCAGCCCATTAATAAATAGTACAAGAATCTCTTTTTGTTGCATTAAATTGGGGTGAATGGTGGAAAATGTAGTTGATGGAACTTGACGTGGCCCAATTTTTGTCCAATTATTTTGGTGTATTTATAACCAAATATATATAAAGCTAGAATATCAAACCAAAAAATAGAGTTATTATATAATTTCATTTATTTCTTTTGTGACCTTTTGGCTTTAAGGTTTCTATCACAGATTCTATGGTGTCTTTCATCATCTTACATATTCTATATACAACTTACATATGGTCTCTTCTTCTTTTTTACCAAAAATTGTAAAATTGGTGAATATTGATATAATTCTTACAAATTAACAATGTTAAAGTAACTTTATAATAGGAAATGAAGGTTCATGTGTAAGATAATATTCGTTTCGCTCTATTTTATATGATTTAGTTTGATTTTGCGTGAAGTTTAAAAAACAAAAAATATTTTTGAAATTTGTGGTCTAAAATGAGTGATAGATGTTTGTACAACTATAAATCATTTCATTAAGAGTAAAATAGACATTTTGAAGTTAAATTAGTACTAAATATAGAAATATATCATTTTTTTACAACGGACCAAAAAGAAAAATTAGTTATATAAATTGGGACAGGAAAATATTGTATTTTGAGTCACAAAACACGATCATTTTACGCCCTTGTTAAGTAAACAGTAAGAGATATCAAATAAGCGGATTGAATTGAATTCGAAAATATCAAAATAGATTAAGTTAAAAAATAGACGATGCTTGAGCTGAAACGAGTTGGACTGAAATGAAATAAAAATTAGGTTAAAACCCAACCCCTCAAAGTGACTATGACAGTGTCACAAGCAATAGTATAAGAGCATGACCCCCCACTCCACCCTCCACCCCCAACCCCCACCCAACAAAAAAAAGTGATTATGACTCAATCATCAATGTATTATTATTAATAATAAATAATGATATGAGAGTATAGTGCATGGTATTTTTATGTTACAAAAATCTTCCTAATCCTAAAAGAAGGGCAGCATTTCTGTACATTGTCGTAGCTCCTCCTATTCCTTCTTTTTTAATCTTCTAATAATATCTTTTATTTTTCTCATTTTATAATACTTACTTGTCTATCAATTTTGTTGCCTTATTTATATAATATTACACTGAATATGATTGTTATTCAGTTTATCCATGTTAGCTAGGGGAAAAAAATTAAAACTATAAGGTCTCTCTATGAAGTTTGATTTAGGCTCAAATCTTGTTGAAATTGCCCTAACGATTTGAAACCCGGGGAATAATAAATCAACCTCTTTATTTTTCTCCACTGTAATGCTCTTTTCCTATACAGTGCAAATTTCATAACGTAACGTGCAACTAATCCACACATAACATATCTTAATCTTGGAGTTGTGGTAGAACTAGAAGTAGAGGTGGTTTTTATCATAAGTTTCCTATTTAATTATTCCAGAAATCAGTGATCAAGAACTACTTAAATCAATAAACAAACATAATGAAAATCCATTGAATTTGAAGCAATTTCAGCAAAGTTAAAGTATTAATGTTAGAGGGAAGCTACAAAATTGCTTTTGTTGAATATTACATAGACATGATTTTTGTTTTATAGATGATCCTCCTAATTAATTAAAATTCCTAAGAATTTTAAGTATCTCAAGAAAACAAAAAATGAGGAATATTAATATGCTAGCTAGCTACAAGGAAAAGAAGGCTATTTTTTGCAAACTATTTA